AAATTCTAGAGTGTGGTTACCCTTAATCTTTTCCCCTTCCTCGCCCATCCAGCTCAGGAATGTGCAGTCTCTTGATCCGGATCTCTTCTCTTCCGGGAAAGCTCTGAGTTGACAAGTCCCCCCCCCCCCGGTTGCTGCAGGTGCACATTCCATCACATTGTGATGTTACAGAGGCATGTTGCATTAACCTGGATATCACGGTTGGCTGCCTTGCCAATTTCAGTTTTTACAAAATATTCTTCTCTAATTTTAACTGCTTCTGCCAAAACTGGACATTTGTGTGTTTTTTTTTTTTTTTCTTCTTTCTCCTTCTGGTTCTGGGGAGCCTGAAGGCAAGTGCCCCTTCATTTCCATGTCTTTGTTGGATAGATTTGATGAGATCTTCCCTTCCTGCTCTACTTTCTTCTAGCTGAATATAGCAGGAAGGGAGATGGATTTCCATTACTTCTTGATCTGAAGTTTGTGAGATCTCTAAAGTTTCAGATTCCCGTAATTATTTCTCCTTTTGACCCTGCAGAAAGAGGGAGATACTTCCCTCTCTTGTACATCTTTCTCAAGAAGTTTCCCCATCACCAAACTCTCCATCTTATTGTTGAATGTTTTTCATAATGCTTAGGTGGCGCAGCAGTTAGAGTGCAGTACTGCAGGCCACTTTAGCTGACTGTGTTCAGCAGGTCAGCGGTTCAAATCTCACCGGCTCAAGGTTGACTCAGCCTTCCATCCTTCCGGGGTAGGTAAAATGAGGACCCAGATTGTTGGGGGCAATGTAAATATATATATACATTGCTTACTGGTGTACACTGCTTAGAGAGTGCTTGCACTTAAAGCGGTATATAAGTCTCATAAGTCTCAAGTCTCTCATAAGTCTCATTTGTCATGTAAATGCCCCCTTCAAATGCCAAGGCCTGGTTGCATGGCAAATTTAGGCTTTTGTTACTGCATTGCCACTGGGGTTGCCAAACTAAATGAGGTGCATCAATGTTACCTGTCACCTCCGAAGAAAACGCAATGTTCAGGCACCCCTTCCGATAAATAAATATTCCAGACCTCTCTCCTACCTGAATTATGCTTCAATTCAACTTTTTCCTCATTCCTTCTAAGTGAGATGTAGAAGTGATGAGACTAGACATGCTCAAAGAGGACCATTTCAGGAGAGAATTGTAGAAAATTGGATGTATTTGCAGTGTGGTTAAAAGCTACAGATAAAAGGCAACAAGATGATCTATGCAATTACAGGGAAGGTCCAATAAAAACCTGATCTCCAGCTTTTGAGTTTTGTGGAAGGATGATTCCTGCGTTTGCTGAGCCTGGATTTGATCAATTAAGGAAAGACTTCTGACCCATGGGGTATCACAGGATAGGGCTTATGTCAAAGTTTTTTTAATGTAAAATAGAGATTTGAGAAAGATTGCAGGGTAAGAAATAGTTTGGTTTATGCGATTATGGTCAAACCTGCTTAATCTTGGTACTAGGAATGCAAAAGATAACAAATATTGGAAAAAGTTTTTAAGTGGGATTCCAGTGCTAAAAAATCCTTCTTTAACAGCATTTACTTCAGCTCCTCCTCTGTCATTTAGATCATATTGCCCCATTGCGTGCAGATTCTATCAGGAGAGCTGTGCTTTTACAATCTTCTCCATAGCTTGAGGGGAGCCTCCTCTCCAGCTCTTTTCTTTTCAGAAAGTTCCTTTCAGTTGCAAAGAAAGATGAAGTTTCTAGCAAAATGCTCTTGGCCATCAAGGAAGCCTTTCAGGTTTAGCACCAACTTCTTAAACACGTAGAATGCCCTACAAAGATTTGAATTGACTATAAGAATTTGGAATACTTACAAATATATCACAAGGTCCATGGTTTAAATTTTAATTTTAATTCCATTTGTCCTAGTTAATAGACACTTGGTGTTTCACTCTGTGACCTTGAGTGGCTCAGATATGTTTATATAATGGTTCTCTCTAGGTGTCTAAGTGTGAATTCTAGAATGTCCTCCAGATATTATTGCCTACAATCCTTAGGTAAAAATAAGATTATAACTAATTTGGAACGTAGCTTTCAGCTACACCTTCATGCTGTAAGTGTATAGTTTCTGTAGTTTATGTTATATATTCTATTTATGTCTTTATGCTATCAAGAAATTAACTGCACTCATTCGTCGTTACTGTGGCAGCAATATTTAATATTGACTTGAAAGGAGAAGAGGATGTGAGCATTTTCTTTGTGCCATACTTACTCACATTGATCGGACCATTAAAATGTTCACTAGAAACATTATTTGGCTCCACACTGGGGCCGTGCGGTCAAATTACACTCACCTATAGTTAACCAAACAGTGGCTCATTCAATTAATCCAATTTTCCAACTTTATATAACATACTAGATTCTAAACTAATGTTTAAGCTAAACTATAATTATTTGGTTAATATTAGGCCCAGAAATAGAATATGGCTATTGGGTAAGCTCTGCATTACGCTTTATCTACACCAGACGTATCCAGGGCCATTAGGTAATACGACCCCACTGGATGACAAATATTTAATATTATTATGTGATTTTCATATACATTAACTATATTATATATTTTATATGCGGCCCAAGATAGTTCTTCTTCACTCAGTGCTGCCCAGGCAGACCAAAGGTTGCACACCCCTGTTCTACATAAAAATAAAATAACAGAACAACAGAGTTGGAAGGGATCTTGGAGATCTTCTAGTCCAACCTCCTGCTCAAGCAGGAAACTCTAGAGTACCATTTCAGACAAATGGTTGTCCAATCTCTTCTTAAAAGTCTCCAGTGATGGAGCACCCACAACTTCTGGAGCCAAGTTTTACCACTGATTGTTTTGTCAGGAAATTTCTCCTTAGCTCTAGGTTGGTTCTCTCCTTGATTAGTTCTCATCCATTGCATCTTGTGCTGCCTTCAGTGCTTTGGAGATGAAGTTAACTCCTTCTTTGCGGCAACTATTTATATATTGGAAGACTGCTATCATGTTACTCCTAATCCTTCTTAAACCAGACTACCCAATTCCTGCAATTTCTTATGTTTTAGTCTCCATCCCTTAATCATCTTTGTTGCTCTTCTCTGCATTCTTTATAGAGTCTCAACATCTTTTTAATATTGTGGTGACCAAAACTGCATGCAGTATTCCAAGTGTGGTCTTACTAAGACATTATAAAGTTGTATTAGCATTTCATGTGGTCTTCATCTATCCCTGTTAATGCAGCCTAGGATTGCATTGGGTTTTTTTTGACAGCTTTGGCTTTTTTAATCTGACACTGTCAAGATGTGTTGGGACCACAGGTGGAGTATAGATTAAGAAAGACTGCTAATGCATTCTGCAATTATAAAGAAAATCTGTTATGATTTTTCCCCTGGCCTACTCTATTAACCTCACATGGTTAACCAAGTTAGTAAAACATCTAACCAAAAAGGAAATTTAAGAATATTGCCACTACATTATTTTTTGATCACACCCATTCCAGGGCATTTTTATTTACAGAAATATAAATGGCCACTACTCCCCTATCTACTGTAGATCTCAGTGACATCAAAAACTTTCCAATTGAAAGTCTAATGAGAGGAACTGCTTTGATGAATATTGCAGTGTTTTAGATCCAGTCCACAAATTGTTTCTTTCCAAAGCTTTCTGTTCAAAATAAGTAATTGTGCCTCAAAGAAAGAGTATTATAGATCAAAGCGCCAGTTTTATTTTGAAGTGCCCTTTGTAATTAATTGAACTAAAGAAATTTTTTGCAAGATGCAGGGCATTTGTCTGAGTCTTTCAAAAAAATGTTCTCTTCCTAACAACTAATATAACAAATGGCTATACAAAGAAAGTTTATAGAACTGTGTTAAAAGGAGAAATTATCTTCTACAACTGTGTTTTGTCTATAAAATCATGCATTAATTTCTAAAAATCCATATATATAAGGCAAGGAGCCTCTTAGGGTCAAAATGGATAAAAGAAACTAAACTAAAAAGAACAATTTCTATTCTATTTAGAACTTCCCCTTTCACTTATCTTTTCCTCAGCTCTATGACAGCAAGAACAAAGTCCAATTATGATAAGAAGCACAAACCTATTGAATAAAGCTTATTAGAATCACTAGAGTCTGATCACTAGAAATAATTACTAAACAACAAATACCCTTGTGGAATCAATGTTAATGCAAGCTTGCTTCAAGAGTTACCTCAAGGAGCAAATATGGCATTTAAATCCAAACATGCATACTTATTTAGTGCAAATCACTACTTAATTCATAGCTCTTAGGTTGTTATTCTGATGCAGTAAGAATCTGCAAATGCTGCATAAAATTGCTGAATTTATATTTTGTGTTAAAACTATGCTTGTATTTTACTCCAAAGCAAGATCAATAGGACCAGTTCTATCTTCACTTTTAGGAAGAAGCCTTGCCAATATTCCCTTTTCTGAAGCTACTGTACATTTTCTCTCTCTCTCTCTCTCTCTCTGTGTGTAGGGGTGTGTGTGTGTGTGTGTGTGTGTGTGTGTGTACCTGGTACTAGAATTTTCCCCAATACTTTGGAATTATGCTATACTCCAATCATTATGGTGAATTTTAAATCATGGCTTCTAACTGGCTTAGCCAATGTACATAGGGTTCATAGTAGGCCCCAACCAAAATTGTGACATTGAGAGATTTTGCTCAAAACCTTACTATAATGCTTTACGATGCATTTATTGCCACATGGAATTGAAATTCAGAACAACCATTGTAAGGATCTCTTAATGCAACCTATTTGGATGGTATCACTTCTGAATATTTATAAAAATTGTTTTCAAAACGATTGAATACTGAATATTCACAATTCAAAGCATATAGGTTATGCAAAAGGAAAACAAGGTACAAGTCACAATCTCCTAGCATTTTACTTTGGGGGGAGAGCTCTATAAATGGCACTTATTTTGCATTCTTTGGCAGCAAAATTTCTGTGTGTGTGAGAGAGAGGGAGAGGGAAAGGGAGAGGGAGGGAGAGAGAGAGAGAGTAGATATATAACAAGATACACTGGAGGAAGTGGACTAAAGGTTGAGGCATCACAAATTTTGCTTGCCTTCAAGATACCATTGTGGATTTTACAAGTAAAGCAATCATCGGAGAGCGCAGAGTCCACCTCCGAGACTGCGCGGAGAGCAGAAATCAAGTTGGACCCAACAATTTCCTCAACCCGAAGCCGGATCAAACTGACAGGCCACAGTCTGAGGGCCCGGTGGAACCTCCCTGGTAAACCCTTGACGCGTGAAAGACGGGGAACCCAGAGGACGAAGACCGAAGGCGGCTGTAGAAGACGCCAAAGAAAGTGGAAGGGGGGGGGACAATGAGGAAGAGTCTTGGTGCGATTGCCGGGCCACGGGAGGGGCCTAAGACTGACGCTTAGTTTTGGGTCGCTGGCTTCTGGCTTTTCCTTTTTTCTTTTCCTCCCCCCCCCCGGACCTCCAGTCCAGATTGGTAGCTGGAAGGAGGAAAAGAGCGCGAGGCCCGCCGAGGCTTTTGTGCTGCGCTTCGAGGAGGCTGGCGGGCGGGCGGGCGGCTCTGGTTTCTACGAGGAGGAGATTTCTTTTCATAACAGGGCCGGAAGAAAAAAGGGAAGCCCAGCTCGGGACTTGGCGTCGAGAGGAGGAGGAGAAGGAAGGGCGGGTGGTGCAACCTGGCGGCCAAACCGGTCGCGTGCCCGTCGGGAGGCGCTGCTGCCCTGCGGCGCAGAGGTGCAACTGGGGCAGGAGCGCGGACGCCCCGGGCTGAGCCGAAGCTAGAGAGCGCCAGGCAATTGGCTCCTGCCGCCGCCGCCGCAGCTTAGTCCCTCCCGTGCCGTATTGCCTCGGAGTCCGGGCTCGGCTTCTGGAACCTCGTCGCCTGCGGCAAGCCCGGTTTCTCGATTGCTGGAGGTGGGTGTGCGGGAGATTCGGATGGCGGGAGGAGGCCTTTCTCCGAGCTGCCCGAGGAATCCGAGCCTGGCCTGCTGGGGAGCTGCGTGGTGGGAAGGGGGGCCGACGGGTTGGCGCCAAGGAGAAACGGGGAGGCTCATTGGTGAAGGTGGAGGTTGCGTGGCGAGAGGGAGACATGGCTTCAGCCGCGGCGGCGGTCGGAAGGGCTCTTGCACCCTTCGCCAGCGCCAGCCTTGGCTTTTCCGAACAGGTGGAGGGGAGGTTGTTGTCTTTAATCCGCAGCGCCTCAGCTTTCGCCGAATGATACCCACACCCTCCATGCAACTACCGACCAATAAGAGGTAGGAAATGGGGAGGGGGCGACGGTCGAGGTCCTTCTCATTCAGCCCTCAGAATGTGGGGCTGGTGGCCGCGCTTTTCAAAGTGGCCAGTGGGGGGGGGCGGGCTGGTTCGGCTGCTGCCAGGGGTGGACGAGTCCACGGCTCTGGGAAGTTGTTGCGATGGGTGATTTTATATTTTTTAAAAAAAGTCGAAGAGATATTCTGGTCATTGCCCGGCTTATACACACGCCACGGCGATTTGTATTCCAGCACTCCTCCCCCCTCAAAAAAAAAAAATCAAGGAAAAAGTACTTCGTGCAGATTCTGTAGGTGTCCTTAAACGGGAGAAGGACAAGAGCTGCGTTGGCTGCCTGAAAGAATCGGAGCATTTAATGCCCTTTCCCACAACCCTTCCAGTTTCGCCTTCTGGTAATTAAGCATCCTGTTATGGAGAAGAGCAACAGTTAGACTTCTGTTAGGGCTAGGCCGGTGCCTGCTATTCATGATGTTGGTTCTTTCTGGTTTCTGCAAACTTGTAAGAAGGTCAGGAATCTTTTCTAAAACTTGTAAAGGGATTAATTACTCCGTGTGTTTGTGCTTTATTCCAGTAGTAGGATGTGCTAGCTTGGAAATCCCTTTTGAGTTTTAAGGAGGGGATCAAGATCAGGATTTGGGTGTTAAATTTGGTTGAGAGCGGGGAGCAACTGCTTATAATTGAAAGGGCACCTGAATCTAAAGGGTATAAATTATATATAAAAATAATTGTGAGACCTTTTGCAGGAATTCATAAGACATAAAATATAATTGAATCTGTTATCTTAAATGGATGATTGGGAGGAGAATTAGAAATTTTTCTACATGTAAAGGAATTTAGGGTTGAAATGTTCAGGTGACTTTTCTGGACTAAAGGAAGGATATCAATTTCAGCAGGTTGGGTTTAAATATGCACTGAAATGATGAAGTAATAATATAAACATACTTCGATATTATGCAAATGTTCTGTTCTTGAAGGAAGCTTTTTGCTCAAAATATGAAGATTGTATTGCATTATCATAAGATTGTTTACCTTAAATAATAGCATTGCTTCCTGGAACCAATAGTTAGTGCCGAGTTCTAGCTATTGCAGGTGAGTTTTTTATTTCACTATATGCAAACACACCTTTGTGTATTTGCTGTACATATCTTTGTGTAATAACATTTCTCCATTAAGCATAAACAACTTAGGTGAAAAAAATGGGAACAAAGATGGATGCTATTCATTCTTTTACTGCTCCAACTTTTTTTTAGCTTTGGATCAGATTATCTGCATCAACTGACTGTAGCTATCTCATACTAAAATATAGAATATTCAGAGATGAGAGATTTAATGATTTTATAGGAGGTATAATATTAAGCCACCAGTTAGTCCATACAAATGCATTTAACCTTTCCAGGAGTCCCACAATCCATAATTGTTAGTAATTCAGAAGTTTTCACTTCTTAGGTTCACTATGTTTTAGTCTTGGTACCTTTTCGTGTCTCAATCTGGCCGGAACATATTAATGTTAACAATACTAGTGAAATAAACAATATAGTATACAAATAGTAAGAGATAACATGTTAAGATAAAATTCATCTAAACTTAAAGCAAACCCATGGTTATGCAAAACAATTCATCTAGACTTGAAGCAAGGACTGGAAATGTATGAACCTAGGAAGGGGCTAGCTCTCATAATGTAAAACACTAGCTTAAAGTTATAGTAATTACTTAGTGGGCATACAATACTTTTCTGTAATTTCTATAGCTTTTTTAAGTTGTGGAAAACAAAACTCAAATACCAAAACCAAAACGGAAGATTGTTCCTCAGTCCTTATTTTGAAGAACTATGCTGAAGGAGAAATACTCTAGATGTTTAGGACTTCAGTTCTCACTGTCCTAATCAGTTTCAATAGATAAAATCTACATTTGATTCTTATATTAATTTGCAATAAGGATCTTAGTATTTCCTAATGCTTATAAGGCTTGTTTACTAAATTGGAATGTAAGGTTTTTGAATGCCTCATAAGTCTGGGAATCTTTGCAGTCTTTTTTTTTTCATTAATGTTCAGTACTGAGGTTTGTATGACTTCCCTCTCTTTTTGCATTGCATAATTGGAAGAAAGAACTATGCCTGGGTTTCTTTGGGTAGTGACTTAACAAAAAATATTAAAGGTCAATGAAGCTATCTTTTAAATCTTTTCACAAAATCAAAATGATAAATAGAGAGCTGTAATAAATTATTTGTACTCTCTCTTATAAGATGTGGACCAAAATAGTTTTTCCAATACATTGCTTTCTTCTTTTTCTTTCATCAGCATTTGAGAATGCACTTATTTCTCTACCATTTACAATTCATCCATGGATTTAGAAATTTCTTTCATCCATTCCAGTATAATCCTTTACATGTTTACCCAGGAATAAGTTCCCCTAAGAGTGCATAGGATTAGAGCCTATAGTTATTTTCCTACGATCATTGAAGATGTTATGAAAATACAACCATTGCCAAAAACAATGGTACATTTGTTCTATTATACTCATTTTGTATCTGCTAAAAATGCTTTCAATTATCTATTGTGTGATGCATATGAAACTTCTGTATAGAAAATACTTACTTCAGTCAATAGCCCTGTAAAACCATTTACGTCTTATAAAACAAGATAGAGAAAGTATGCAGAGAATGAATTCTGAGCTTGTTTCCAAACTCTCTTTCACAGGCCATAGGAGGCACTGTATTTTATTCTGCATAATGAATAATATATTCAATTTCTCTGTATTTTGCTTTTCCTTTATATTACATCTATGTGTGTACAGGGAAGCATAGAGCAGATTACTATACTGTACTACAGTAATCCATTCTGGGTCACATGACCAGTAAGGAGTGCTTAGAATGAAGGATTGCTGCAGGAGTTTTTTAGGAGTTTTTCTCTGTAGCTTCCACCAAGATTTTGTTTATTTTGAAACCTACATTTTCTTTTGGCAATGTCTCCCACTGTACCAGATTTTGTCATACTCTATTCAGTTATAATACTGTTTGACAGACAAATAAGTCTCAAACCCTTTACCCAACTTTTCTGTTTTGTTAGTTTGAAAGTTGCTGTACAGATAGTCCTCGCCTTATAACAGTTCACTTAGTGATTTTTCAAAGTTATAACAGCACTGAACTGGGGTGCTCTAGCCCAGCAGAGGCGTGGCAACTTTCCAGACTTAGTCTTATTTGAGGAGGAAGATTAAGACAACCCACTCGTGGATTCTCCATCCAGTCATGCTGGATAATTGCTGTACAGATAACAGTTCATTTAGTGACTGTTCAAAGTTATAACAGCACTGGAAAAAAGTGACTTGCCACCGTTTTTCATATTTATGACCATTACAGCATTCCCATGGTCATATGATCAAAATCCAGATTCTGGCAACTGAGTCAGATTTATGACAGATGCAGTGTATTGAGGTCATCTGATCACCTTTTGCGACCTTCTGATAAGCAAAGTCAATGGGGAAGCCAGATTCACATAACAATCCGTATTACTAATTTAACAAGTGAAGTGTAGTGATTCACTTAACAACTGTGGCAAAAAAGGTTGTAAAATGGGGCAAAACTCATTTAATAAATTTCTCACTTAGCAGCAGAAATTTTGGGCTTGATTGCAGTCGTATGTCGAGGACTACCTATATATCCTGAAAGTTTTTTGATCGATGGAGTTTGTCAGTTAAGCTTTCATGGTAGGGAATAGCCATAAAAAAAATCTGAAACTAAGGGTACCTTTTGAAGGGCAATGCACCACAACATAAGTTTGTATGAAATAGTACAGGGTTTTCTGCGTCCAAGGTCCCTTCCAACTTTATTATTATTGTTGTTGTTGTTCTACTATCATGTTGTTTGTTATAAAATAAATCAGAAGATTAAAATATTTCTTTTATTTTAAAACTTTGGAGAACGTTCAAAATTTGAAACCAAAAATGGTCTTTTTAAGAAACCTGAAAATGTAATATTTTAGTAACCTGAGTTGTATAAACTTAAACATGATGAATAAGGAAATATAAGAAACACGGGTTAGACTGGGATAAATCCCTAGTTGTCCAATTATGGTATCAGGACTTATGGTATCCTGAATTTTTTTAAAAAAAAAAAAATCAGCCTTGTTCATATCTTTATTTTTTCTGTTATGTGACTATCTGTTTTCATGTGGCTATCAATTGTAGTGCTAAATAGGCAGCATAGCACACAAATATCATCTCAATGATATCCTAAAACCTTGATGATAAACACAAAATCTGTTTTTGTTTTCATCTGTTAAATTGCAAATGTTTCAGAAAAAAATGATGTGTTTTATATGATTTTTGCTAAATGGAATCTTTTTAATAATTTTTTTTCAGTTTTCTTCAATTTATGCTTTTATATTGCCCTGGCTAATAGTCAGAATAATGAAATAACGCTATTGGCATTTTATCATCATGAACCCCAAATAGATATTTCTAGAGGTTTTAAAGAAAAATATACACTCTGATATTTTGTTTTATTTGCAAGCTAATTTTCCATCGTTAACAGGTGTTGCAGCATCCTTGTGGTCGTGTGATCACAATTCAGGGGTTTGGCAACCACCTGCACTTAACAACTGCAGAAGCACTTCAGCTTCCCCCACTTGCCCATCTGCCCTCATCTC